GGAGGGATGGTGGGAAAGCCTTGGTCCGTGAGCCCTTTGACTTTTGTGATGGCTGTGTAGGAGGCAACCGGAGCCCTCAGCTTTAAGGGATCGTTGGCTGAACCCAGGAGGAGGGCAGACACAGCCGGGAAACGGGGCCTGACTGGGTCCCGTTGTCCACTGTGCTGGGCTGCAAATTTTCCTGCCAGAAGGGTTGATGTAGCCGGGGCCGCCGGTTTGGGCACTTCCAGGTCTCAGGCTCTCGCCGACCTCCCGATTATCTCCAGGAGCTCATGGAACAGAGTGGTGGACGACCCCTGGGCGCTCAGGGAGGCAACCATCGAGGACAACACCGGCTCCAAACCTCCTGTACGGCAGGATGGAGTGCGGCTGCTAGCTGTTTCAGCTTCAGAGGGGGACATGTTTGCGACCTCCGTGTCCACGGAGTTCAAAAATTCCTCGAGCAAACAGTCCCCCCTTGGTTGAAACTCGTCCTCTGTAGAGGAAAAGAGCTCACACCGGCGCTGCTTCTCCTCAGCCAAAAAAAGTTTGCAGACTGGACAAGAGAAGAGCGGATCCAAAGCTTGCCGAGCGTGGTCAGCCCCCAGGCAGCTTTCACACACGACGTGCAGGTCTGTCGATAAGATGTAGCCCGTCTGGCACGCGGGGCACAGATGGATGGTCTTCGATTTCATAATTGAAGTCATCTTTCTTCTTCTTTTTCTTTTCTTATTATTTTTTCTTAGAAGTAGTGTTCTTAGCGTTGGCTGAAGAAAAACGGGAGTCGATCTATGGCCCAGATGCAAGACCAAATAACGGACCAGGTGGGGCCCACACAGCAGGTGGGTGTGGACTAGAAGTTTTTAGTGTTCGGCATGCTGCGCGCGGGTAAACCCAATAGCGACAGCTTTTAAAGGGTGTAGCTTACACGAAATAGAACAGTACTTTTGTTGCACAGAACCAGGCTCAGGTGTTGTGCCTTGGCTGCCCTGTCCTGAGAAAACTGAATGTTAACGTAAACCTACATGAAGGAACTTTGGTAGAAATTCATTTTAAGGGAAAAATAAAATGTATACAAAACACAAAAGGCCCCCCAACCCCATGAAACAGTCATCTGGGAGATCTTATTTTTGGTGGGTGATAAAATTTCTTCTCTGTTTCCTCATTTGCCTCTTCATACTTTTGTTGCACTACTGAAGCCCACATACATTCTTTGGATTCCATTTCCAAGGTCATCATAGTCTAAGTATTTTCCTCTGGTGTGCGACAGCGAGAACTCTCCCTGCGAGAGCCCCCTCACTTGAGCTTTTGTTTGATGGAAAATCTCATGCTTTAGAGTTCACATGTCTTGTAAACAGCTGCTGAACGTCCTCTAGCACACTGGCCTCCACATGGGTCTGGCTCACATCACTGTGGATCTGCTTTGATTGTTGTTACATAACTTGGAATTTTGTCTTTTGTGCTCTCTACCCTGCTTTCAAATTTACTGAGGCTGCCATTTCCACAGAGAGCACCGTTGGATTACACCCAAAACTGCTCGGCTTACACCTGCAAATTACATCATCACATTTTTCATCTTATCACTATTCTGAAATTGAGTAGGGTTGTTTTGAATTTAAAAATTAATTTAGCTGTTGTTCTGTCTTGAAGATTAAGGCTTCATCTACACTAAAACAACATTTTGTTAATATACCGTATTTCAGCTTTGTGCCTACACAAAAATTGAGTTTTAGGCACCACTAAAGGGTATTTTTCAAAACTGGGTTCCAAAGTGAAAAAATCTTTAAACACCATTATGATCTTGTGTGGACCGCCTAAACACAATCTTTTGAAAAACAATGATGTCATAGTCCCACCTCCCAATTAATCTACAAACCCAAACATAAGTAACAGCAGTAATGACAGATTAAATGCTTGCATTTGCACTGCAGAATGCCAGGTGCTCAACTACAACAAATTCTTCATTTACTGAATTACTTCAATGAACAAACAAGTCTGATGAACATTGTCTTGAAAAGAGTAAAGTAACAGCTGTCATCGGCAACACAAATACCATCAGGTACTGTACAATTATTGTCTGTCGTGCTTGAGATCATAAGTTAGGCGTGAGGTGGGACATTGACATTTTCAAAAGGTTGTATTTCAGCCATCTACAAATTTCAAGGGTGGTGTTTCAAGATTTTTTCACAATGAAACATCTTTTCAAAAATGACAGTTTAGGGCAGGGGGCTACAACCTTTATGATCAAAAGAGCCATTTTACGCCTTTGTTCAGTAAATTAAAAGTGATCAGAGCCGCAACAACCTGCCACAACTGTGATTATCAACTGTTGTCCCATGGGCCATTTTAGGTTTGTTTGAGGAGACTTTTGTGGCCATTAGGGATGACATTAAAAAGCTAAAAATATCTAATAATTTATATTTTTACAATTTAAA